CTAGGTGTCCTAGGCTTGCTGGGAGACTGGGATCTACCTTTGCTGGGTGATCTTGGCCTTGGGCTCTGCGATCTGCCACGGCCTCCTCTTGAAGAGGGGCTGGAAGTTCGGCCAGGAGACTTTGAGGCAGGGGCACCGTACTTATCTCCGTGAGATCTTGCGATGCGGTCACGGTTCTTGCGTTTGCGCTCTCGGGTCAAAAGATCCTTAAGTGACTTCACAAGAAACCTGTACGTGTGCTGATCCGTGCCCTCTGATGCCCTGTCGTAAATCTCAAGATCGTACTTTAGCCTCTTGGACTGCCTGAGTTCACGAAGGAAAATGTCTCTTAGGGTCGTTTCGTCCGGTGTGTGGCTAAGTCCAGACATGACAGATTCCCAGTTGCTTAATGAACACTGAAAGGTCGTCATTGATTAACCTTACTTTCAGCAGGTCCTCCACGGAGTACAGTGAGCCAACCTCCTCGTTCGTCTTGAAGTACTGATCGAAGAGGTAGAGCACCTGTCGTCCTCGTACCGCCCTGAATTTCGCCGCTTCTGTCTCCTTAAAAATGAGGATTTCTCGGGAGAGTTCTCCCCTAGCGACTTTGGTGAGTGCAGCAAGAAGTTTCGTGTCAAGGGTGAGGAATTTCTCGGGGTCTCGAAGGGATTCCTGCGATGCGTCTTTGTCGTAGGCCTTCATCACCCATTTAAACGCCTCATCAGGAGAATCTGATGCTGCCCTGACCGCTTCCCTAGCTGCCGTTTTCCATGAACGATACGACTCTGGACTTGGGAAATCCGGAAGGTTGATGGACTCTGCTTCTTTCGCTTTGGGTTTGTCAGCATCGCCTTTGCTCTCACCCCTTAAGGTTCTTAGGCTTTGAAGAATTGCCATTTGGGTCTCTAGGAGACCTGTGTTGAAAGCCTCCGTCCCTGGCGTGCCGGAATCGGCCGCTGGAGGGGCCGCTGTTCCTGGCGCTGCCTGGGAAGGTCCTGCTTTGGGGATTGAAGATGCTGTTGCAGACGGAATGGACTGAGCATTCAAACCTCCTGGATTCATTGACTCGAACAGACATCTGGCACCTTGGGGGATAACGTTCGGCATTGAGAACATGGGCGCTTGAGGAGCTTTGGGGACAACAGAGGGACCTGCAGGGGTGCTTGGAGCAGGCACTGGCTGACTCTTTGGAGTAGCTGGGTTGTACTGATCCAAGACCTTCTCTAGTGCAGTTTCCGCAGAATCCAACCTGTCCTGAAGCTCTTCGTTCTGTTCCCTGCATACAGCAAGGGACGCCTCATACTCTTCTTTCTGCCTGTTCCTAAACAACTCAAAGTGTGCTTGGAACTGTTCAACCATGACTTCCTGGGAATTCTCGACGTGCCGTCTCGCCTGTTCTTCGAGGTTCTGTGCAAAGCGTGATTCCGCCAGTTGTTGATCCAATGCGTCTGTGATTCGGCTTTGTTGAAGTTCCGCTAGCTCTTGACGCAACCTTTGATCTTCGTCATAGGAATGCGCCTGACTTAAAGTCATTTCCGACAACAGGAGCCTTTCGCGATTTGCCGCCTTGAACTCGCTTTGTGCCAAGGCTGCTTGCAGTTCTGCTACCACTTCAAGGTGGTTTCGTTCTGCTCTGTGCTCCAAGTCAGCTGTGTGAATTGCGGATGCTTCTTGATAGGTCAGCATGTGTTGCCTGTGTCTTGCTTCTGCCTGAGCCTCTAGTTCTCCGACTTCCAGTCTGATCTGGTTAACGTGTACTTCGACACTATACTGTGGTGCGAAGACGTTGAATTGTTGGACTGAGGCTGGTGCCGGGAAAGCCGCTCCCTGTATGGCCGCCCGTGACCGGGGGCTGAAAAGGGTTCGCGGTGCTTGTAACTGTATCCATACTTGCAGGAATAAGTTCCGGTTCGCTCATGCGCTGATTGATTGTATTGTAACCAACCAGTTGTGACCAGGCCGTAGGCTATACGGCTGATAACCTATAGTTGTTGTAAACCACTGCACACACGCACTGATAATAACCCGTCCAAGTGTTAGCAAGTAGCGCACGATACCATTAGGTAGCTACACCTTTTGCCTGCTAGAGCACTTGTGCCACAATGCCATACACACAACATGATACTTCACACGTGCACAAATTACAAGGAATATACCTTAAATTCGCCTCGGCCCCGGCCGAAGCGGTCAGAGGTTCCTATTCGGATTTCCTCTATTCCCCACCTCAATCCCCTCCCCAGTGACCCCACCCCCAAAATGCGGGCCACCCCCCCCCCCCCCCCCCACCCCCCCTAAAAAATGGAAACGTGTCGATGAGCCCCAAGGTTTGGGGTGAATTTTCGCCTTCTCCAGTGGATTTTGGCTTTCTGTAGGCAGTTCCCTCCCGCCCCTCGCTGACAGGCGCGAGCTTTCGCAGCATCTTTATGTGTTGGGGCTCGCCTTTAAGGCTGCAGTACCAAGCGAACCCTACACCCTAACCCCAGCCTGAAAAATTGGGGCTCGCCTGTAAGGCTGCAATACTTGGAGGGTCGGGGGACTTAGTAAGTAGGTAGTAAGTAGACTTATAAGTACCTTAAAAGGGACCCTAATTGGGGTTATGATACTTATAAGTCCCTAAAATAACCAGTTACTAAGTCCCCCGACCCTCCAAGTACCAAGGGAGTTTCAAACCTGAATTCCTAACCCTACACCCTAACCCCAGCCTGAAAAACTTTCAAAGCCCGGACAACACCTGCACCCGAAAGCACCTATGAACATTACTTTTACTATAAGTGCGATTCCAACTGTTACTTTTTTCCTACAAGAGCTTGCTGCAGATAGTAGCCACTCGCCGCATGCGTGTACAGCCGGGCCGAGGCGGACGACGCGCAGCGTTTCAATTATTGTAGAATCCCTAAAATGGTTTAAGGAATATTCCTTTAAGGGCTATTGGGGTCTCTGGGAACCTCTAAAACCTACTCGGAGGTTCGGGGACTTAGGGTTTAGGGTTCAGAGTTTGAGCTAATTTTTTCTGGCGATGCATACAAGAATCATACCCCCGCTTAGGGTCCCTTTTAGGTACTACGTATTATGAGTCTACTTACCTACTTGCTAAGTCTCCCGACCCTCATAATAATTCAAACCTACCGAAACCGATTGGACCCTGCTTTGTTTGAGGATGTTGGCGGTCTCGGTTCAACACCCCCAAAACCAAAACCCTAACCCGAAGCTAAACGAAACAAGTAGTTGACCCTTGGCTTAAGAGCAAAACGAAACGGTTCTCAAACAATGTGGCAAACATCAAACTTTTCGCAAACCCGGAGGCCCGAGGCTACTCGAAACGATACTTCAGACATAAGGCGAATTGAAACTATTGTTCAACCCTCAACAACACCGGAACCATTGCAGAAGTCGGAGATTCAGAAATCACGAGTCCATACTGTCTGAAACCCCCCAAGTAGATGTAGGGGCCCGAATACTTACCCGTGCTCTTCCTCATGCTCAGGGTTCATTTACATAACTAGTAACTATATGGGGGTTTCCGAAAATAGGGGACCCTAATATAGCACCCAAAATAGTAGGATCCTTATTGTAAGGACCCCAACATAGGGTCCCTCCCCCCCAATTTTCGGAAACTCCCGCATTACGATACAGAGCAACCTAACTCCCTATTCCCAAGCTCCAAAGCCTGAACCTTACCAACACCCTCGGTGCACTTTCTGGAGCTTCTAGGAACATAGCCGGTGCCGGTCCTTGGTGCGGCGTTTCCGGCTCCACTTCTGACGCGCTGGGCAATGCTGCCAACCCTGAAATACCATAAATGGCATACCCTCCACCGGCTGCTGCTGCTGCTGCTGCTGTTCCACCAAGCATGCGCAACAGGTATTGCGGGGCGGCCACATTCATAGCCAAGCTGGTTGCGTCCCATACCCATAGAGCCCAATACCACCTAATTAAGGAAAAGAGCTTAAATTATAGTAGGATCCCTAATATGATTTAAGGCATATTCCCGAATTCAGGAATACTGGGCTCTCTGGGTATGTCCGAGAACTCTGGGATGCCGTGCCTGTGTGACAGAATTGGCTGGGAGGCTCCTTGGGCCCACCACGACCACGGGGACCGGTACACCGATCACGGTTTAGGGTTTAGGGTTTAAGGGTTAGGGGTTTAGGGTTTAGGGTTTAGGGGTTCAGGGTTTAGGGTTTAGGGTTTAGGGGTTTAGGGTTTAGGGTTTAGGGGTTTAGGGGTTTAGGGGTTTAGGGGTTTAGGGGTTTAGGGTTCGGATCGTCCGAGCTTCGTCCATACTGCTGATGGACAAAATCCTGCACTACCCATTTTAAGGAATATACCTTAGTTACCATAGTTTAGGGTCCTTAAGGTCATGCAGAATTTTGTCCATCAGCAGTATGGACGATAAAATCCTTATACACACTCTCTTCTAATTGCGAAGGGCCCTCTATTTGGCTCATGGGCCTCAAGTGCTGATGCTTCTGTGGAAACCCCCAAGAAGGCCCTAAACCCTAAACCCGAACCTCAAGCTCCATCAACCCCGACCCGGAAACCAGAAACCCGGGATACTGCGCCCACTCAGTAACAGCTGAATAACATGTAGAAGATGATAGATATACAAGAAAGAGCCTTCATCGTATCCTGATTAATTATAGGCTGTTACTGTATGGGCGCAGACTCCTATCACCCTAAACCTTAAAAAAACCTTATACCCTTAAAAACAAAAACCTTCCGGGCGGTCCTAAAATTAAAGGGAGTCCTACCATGGAGCCCTACAGTACCCTCAACAGGAACCCTAAGCCCTACTTACTTTTACCCTTATAAACACCCTAAACACCCCCCAGGCGGTCCTCCAAGGGCAGGAGCCCTTTAGGAACGCTACTTACTAAGTCCCATGTGCTTTTTTGGTAGAACTCCCTAAACCCTAAACCCCTAAACCCTAAGAACCCTAATTACACCCTAAACCGCTAGAACCCTAAACCCTAAACCCTAAGAACCCTAAACCCGCCAGGCGGTCCTCTTTCGAAAGCCGCACGTGTCCCTCGAGCCCGAGCCAGGCGCGCAGCAGCGACAGCGCCCTGGGCTTCGGCGGCCTCTGCTTTTTAACGGCTCGGGCTGTTGAAAATGGCTCCTTAATAATTAGGATAGCGTTTTTTTAAAGGGATTTCTTTAAGGGATACTATAACGGTACTATAAGGGTCTAGGGATTAGGGGCCTTAATGATTAGCACAGGGTTTTTGGGGCTCTTGAAAGGGCTCCTTGGACTTAGGGGCTCCTTGAAGGGATCTATCGCAGAGACCCCAACACCCCTGAATTCAGTACCCTAAGTGAGGGTTCCTTTAAGGGCTCTTTCAAGGGGTTCATAAAGGTTTAGGGTTTAGAGGTATCTTTGAAGGATTTCTTCTTGTGCTTTACTGGAATTTGCTGGGCTTTCTAGGGTCTCATAGGTTTTCTGATGGTTACATAGAGCTTTTTATGTAGACTTTGATATACGGTAGGGTTCTAGAAAGGATTTATGAGGAGTTGTAAATAGTTTTGAGGGTTGGCTCAGGCCTTCGCGTTCAGGTTTTGAAGTGCTGAGGGTGTAAGATTCAGGGCGCAATTAGGGTGCTTGGTCTTTGCTGGTTACTTGGAAGGGCAGGGGACTTAGTAAGTGGGTTATAAGTGGGGTTATAAGTCCCCTAAGTGGGGTTATCATAATTATAAACTACTTATAACCTTACTTACTAAGTCCCATGAGCCTTTAAGTAAAGTACCTGTTCACGTCTCGGGCTTGTTGGTGGCTCGTAGAAGTGCCCTTGGGCAAACCGCAAGGATGCAAGCCCGAAAGTTAACCCCGAAGCCTACCAGGACTCCCCAAGTGCCCTCTACTGGAGCCCTTATGGTCCTTAAAAGTGGGTATTTTAGGGTATAATAAGTGAGGGTTCCTTTAAGGGCTCTTTCAAGGGGTTCATAAAGGTTTAGGGTTTAGAGGTATCTTTGAAGGATTTCTTCTTGTGCTTTACTGGAATTTGCTGGGCTTTCTAGGGTCTCATAGGTTTTCTGATGGTTACATAGAGCTTTTTATGTAGACTTTGATATACGGTAGGGTTCTAGAAAGGATTTATGAGGAGTTGTAAATAGTTTTGAGGGTTGGCTCAGGCCTTCGCGTTCAGGTTTTGAAGTGCTGAGGGTGTAAGATTCAGGGCGCAATTAGGGTGCTTGGTCTTTGCTGGTTACTTGGAAGGGCAGGGGACTTAGTAAGTGGGTTATAAGTGGGGTTATAAGTCCCCTAAGTGGGGTTATCATAATTATAAACTACTTATAACCTTACTTACTAAGTCCCATGAGCCTTTAAGTAAAGTACCTGTTCACGTCTCGGGCTTGTTGGTGGCTCGTAGAAGTGCCCTTGGGCAAACCGCAAGGATGCAAGCCCGAAAGTTAACCCCGAAGCCTACCAGGACTCCCCAAGTGCCCTCTACTGGAGCCCTTATGGTCCTTAAAAGTGGGTATTTTAGGGTATAATAGAGGGTAGTTGGGGGTCAAGGTACACGTAAACACTGAACTTACTGCTTGAAAACCTTGAAAAGCCTGATGGCTGAACCCTGAATAAATGTTTAAGCCACAAAACCTCTCTTCTTCAACAAACGGGCTAACAAAAACAAACTTTCCTTTCTTTCCAAGATAAGCCGAATATATCAGGCAACAAATCGGCTACCTTCGCAAACCCTAAATCGAAAACCCTAAACCCCAAGCCACAAAACAATAAACCCCGACACTTGCGGCCTCTCGTTGGGAATTGCCAGTATCTCGGCAGCACGCTCGAGGGAGACCACGGCGTAGCAGCTTTCCTTGAACCCCACAGAACCCATACTAGGTGTCGATTTAAATGCAACAGTCCTAAACCCTAAACCCTAAACCCAATTAACGATCATGCGGGCTTAAGCAATTAGGGAGACTGAAGATTATGCCCCAAATCGACACCTAGCATACCTTCTACGACCCAGACCCCCGGGAGGATCTAGAAAGTAGATCCCCTGATTTGGGGCCCTATACTACATATGGTACTTCATAGGAACCCCCATTAAGGGATCTACTTTTGGGATCCTCCCGGGGTTCTGGGGATGTCTGAATCCCCATTAGCGCCCTCGATAGAGGTAGGTTTAAGGCTTAGCACCATACACATCTGGAACCATAAACATGCCGGCCCTTGCTTAGAGGATCATGGGACTTAGTAAGTAGGTTATAGTTGGGGTTATAAGTCCCTTAAGTGGAGTTATCCTAATTATAAGCTACTAACCTTACTTACTAAGTCCCATGAGCCTTCAAGTGGAGCTAAGGTACTCGGGCTGGACTTTCGGTTTTTCGGTAGCTGTAAAGTGGAGGGTTTAGGGATTTAGGGACTTACTTGAAGGCTCTTGGGACTTAGTAAGTAGGTTATAAGTAGGGTTATAATTGGGGTAACTCCATTTAGGGTATAACTCTACCTATAACCTACTTACTGAGTCCCCTGCCCCTCCAAGTAGGGTTTAGGGCAAGTGCTTCATTTGCGGTTTTAAGGTTGGGGTTTCACTGGCCCACCGGCGTTGGATCTTCCAAGTATACCGGGGTTGTGTAGGCACACGATAAGCGTGACGCGCTGACCCTACATACATCGTCGTATTTCAGGGCTTAGTGGGGCTTTGGGGTCTAGGAAGAAATTTCTGAAACCGTCAACCCATATACTGAAACAGTCGATGCTTTTTCCATGTTGAGTTTAGGATTGAATCTTAAGGCCATAAAAGCCTTAAGCCCTCAGCCCCTTTCAAGGAACCGTTATAAAAAAAAACGCTCAGGAACCCTGAAAGAGGAATTCCTTAGAACCCTGAACCTCGTTGTTCAGCTTGCATAGATTTGTCCCAGGGGTTTGTCTTTTTTCGGGTCTTTCGCAGCATTTAGGAGGGTTATGGGTCTTTTGCAGGGTTGTCAGAACAGGGTGATGGTGTATCCTTATGTATACGGTGTACAATGGTACGAGGGGAAATTTTGACCCATTAAAGGAAATTCTGGCCTCATAATTAAGGTCCCTGTATGATCATACCCCTATAGATCCCTTGAAGAACCCTTTAAAGGACCCCTTAAAGAAACCCTTTAAAGGGCCCCTCAAAGGAACCCTAGTCTAAATATTAAGGCCCCTATATGATCGTACCCCTATAGATCCCTTGTAGAACCCTTTAAATGACCCCTTAAGCCCTAAACTCTACTTGGAGGGGCAGGGGACTTAGTAAGTAGGTTATAAGTAGAGTTATAAGTACCCTAAATGGAGTTACCCCAATTATAACCCTACTTATAACCTACTTACTAAGTCCCCTGCCCCTCCAAGTAAACCTAATGATTAAGCCCCCTCTTGCGAAGTGCCCAGGCCCTACTGGTAAGGGCTTACCCAGAGAGCCCAATACACCTTTATTATTCGGGGCCAAAAAGGCACATAAGCATAAGCATTTGATAGGGATATCCCTACCTCATTGGGCTTCTTTATAAGGGGGTTTATATGGGATATCCCAATCCTAATTTTTGCTTATGTGCTTTTTTGGGGCCCTATATTAAGGAATACCTGAACCCTTAGGAACCTACCTTTGTTTAGGGTTCCCTAACATGAAGTCTTTATATAAGACCTTATAAAGGTAGGTTGCTTGGGGTTAAGGTATAGCTTAAACCATAAAGGCCCCTTAGTGTTTAAGGCATATTCCTTGCTTAAGGGGTATTGGGCTCTCTGGGTAGGCTTCACGCGGCCGTGGGGTTGCAAACCGGCCATGTAGGGATTCAAAACGACCCCCAAAACCAAAACCCAGAGTGTTGAACTCATGTAGGGAGTGAACACGATCCCACAACCAAAACCCACAAATTAAAAAAAAAGCCTGCAGGGGTGTCCCCTTGCAGAGTTCCATATGGGTGGTTGTCAAAATTATGGTCCTTTTTTGGGTCCTTAACAGGGTACGGCACCTACTATTTAGGGCACCCAAAAAGTGACCTTAACAACTACCCACATAAGGGATATTACTGGGGCCTGTGTATACGCCCCTTAAAAATTCAAAAAGGTGTTGCCAGGCCTAAACGGCTGTCGTGTGGTGAGATTTTATGTGCTGCCCAACTGATCTCGGACGGCACTGCTGTCACCACCCCTGCCACTACCGCCCCAGGTCACAACAGAGCCATCACGGAGGATCGCAGCAAAGGCGAACAAAGTTGATTGAATCTGCTGTAAATTCGTCAGCTGATCTCGGACGGCACTACTGTCACCACCGTACCCAGCATCGCCCCAGGTCACGACAGAGCCATCACTGAGAATCGCAGCAAAGGCCTTCATAGTTGCTTGAATCTGCTGTACATTCTTCAGCTGATCTCGCACTAGGTCGCTGTCACCACCGTAGCCTGCTGCGCCCCAGGTCACCACGGAGCCATCTCCAAGAATCGCAGCGAAGGCCCTATCAGTTGCTTGAATCTGTTGCACATTCTTCAGCTGATCCTGCGCAGCACTGAAGTCACCACCGTCATCGGCATCGCCCCAGGTCACGACGGAGCCATCCCCAAGGATTGCAGCAAAGGCAGACTTGGTTGCTTGAATCTGCTGCACATTCTTCAGCTGATCTCGCACAGCATTGCTGTCACCGCCGAGATCGGCATCGCCCCAGGTCACCACAGAGCCATCCCGAAGAATCGCAGCAAAGGCCCGCTCAGATGCTTGAATCTGTTGCACAGTCTTCAGCTGATCCTGCACAGCGCTGAAGTCACCACCGTCATCAGCATCGCCCCAGGTCACGACGGAGCCATCCCCAAGGATCGCAGCAAAGGCATACATGGTTGCTTGAATCTGCTGCACATTCTTCAGCTGATCTCGCACAGCATTGCTGTCACCACCGAGATCGGGATGACCCCATGTGACGACCGAGCCATCATGGAGGATCGCAGCAAAGGCATACTTGGCTGCTTGAATCTGCTGAACATTCCTCAGCCGATCTCGCACAGCGCTACTGTCACCACCGTACCCAGCATCGCCCCAGGTCACGATGGAGCCATCACGGAGGATCGCAGCAAAGGCGCCCAAAGTTGCTTGAATCTGCTGAACATTCCTCAGCCGATCTCGCACAGCGTTGCTTTCACCACCATCGCCAGGAATACCCCAGCTGACGACGGATCCATCCCTCCGGATCGCAGCAATGGCATACATCGTTGCTTGAATGCTCTGCACATTCTTCAGCTGAGCACGCACACCAGTGCTGTTACCGCCAAACCTAACATCGCCCCAGGTCACGACGGAGCCATCTCCCAGGATCGCAGCAAAGGCGAACCTTCCGCCATATATCTCGACTCCTCCAACCCGGAAGGTCAATGGCTCCTGATACTGCAGCCTGGCCTTTTTCAGCGGCACTTCTCCATCAAGAACTGTTCCGGTGGAGTCCAGCAGTCCGCCTTTGCCAACTTCCAGGGCTCTCTGCGCGCGCACCCTCAGCGATTCTACGGATTCGTCGTCATGCGTCTGCAGGGACACAGTCTTGCCACTTATGAGGCTTACCTCAAGTGTAAAAGACATGATTCCAAAGGTAAAAGGAGGGACCCTTAATCAGGACCCCTAGGTATATACCCTTAATATAGCCATCATATACCCATTATATAGCCCATTATAGGGTAGGGGTCCCGGGGTCCCCAAGGAAGGGTCCCTCCTTTTCCCCTTCGAATGATAGACTGGGGACTCCAGTTGCAAATCACCCCATGGCTAGCTCGAATGCCGGGCTGTGATGGACTAACGTATGGGCCTTGAAAATGAGAAGGTGCTGAGGGAGTAGATTCTAGCATACTTATATTGAAACATACAAGGAGATAGTACCCTAAACCTTCAACCCTAAACCCCTAAACGCTAAAGCCAAACTCTTGAGGCCACTGACCGAACTGCCGAGTAGACCGGTATGCACGACTGCTTGCTCTTGGGCCGCTAATGAACCCACAAAAGCCACTTCACGTCAGCTGGGAATAATCCTGTTGAACAGAACTTGAAGAATAAACTACTGGTATGCTATGTTGTATGATCTTAATTCTATTATGTTTTAGGGTTTACGTACATTATGTTGCATTATCTTATATTAGGTTGTATTATGCTGTAGATTATCATGCTTCATAAGTATGAAAGTCTTAGGGTCTAGGGTTCACGTCAGCTGGGAATAATCTTTTTGATGTGGGCTCTCTGCTTGCAGCCTGTGTCTTTTGCACCATTCACTATTTCCTCAAACAGTCTCCCCAAGGGGGCTAGGTAGATTAGAGTGTCATGCTTCGTAAGGATCAGGGTGTAGGGGTTTAGGGGCTTAGGGTTTTAGGGGTTCAGGGGTTGACATTAGAAGCCAAAAAGTTGGAAACCCAATAGCCTCGATCCCTAAGAGTAATGTATAGGGAATCCCCGCACTATTTGGCCTTAATCCGGTTTCCAACTTTATGGGGTTTACTGTAGGGGTTTAGGGTTTGGTGCAGAGGAAAGCTTGATTTCCAGAGTCGACTCAAGAGTGCGCAGGATGTCCTTGTAGAGGAGATACTACTGTTGAGGGTCGTATTAAGAATCGCCGAAAGCGGCGTAATGTAACCATCATCCACAACGACTGGGGAACAGAGAAGCTAGATCTGAAGTAAGTAGGTTCTTTATCCTCACTACTTGAAGGCTCGTGGGAATTAGTAAGCAAGGTTATAAGTAGGTTAGAATTAGGATAACCCCACTTAGGGGACTTATCACCCCAATTCTGACCTACTTACTAGGTCCCATGATCCTTTAAGTACCGTAAACTCCCCCTTATAGAACCCTCATAGATCCCTAAACCCTAAACCCTAAAAAATCCCGTAAAGGAGCCCTTTAAAGGAACCCTACTAAGTCCTCTGTACTGTAGTGCGAACCCAACAAAGCCTCATGTCCTCGAGCTGAAACGCAAAACCCAAAGCCCTGGCCAGTTACGGTTGATGATATAAACCCTGCATTACCCATAAGAAGGACTAGGATACCCAGTAACCTAAGAATAAAAAGGCCTCTCTTTTTGGTATTGGGTAACTTTATAAGGACCTTAGGACTACAAAAAGGGAATAAGGGTGCTACTGGGCATCCTAGATTACCCATAAGAAGGAACATGCCATTATTCCCGTAGTTTAGGGTCCTTAAGGTAATGCAGGATTTATATCATCAACAGTACGTCACAAATCCGTGTAAATGCTGATCAGTACAAGGATTGCATAACCAAGAAACACCTGCTCTTCAATAAACACCGTAAATCCTGCAAAACTCCTTTCAGCCCAATACAATCCCACAAACATCCCCAACAATGCTGCTAACCCTAATCCTACTTCCTCTTCCCACTGAACCTAAGCCTAAAAACCCGAAACCTGTCTAAACCCTAAACCCCTAAACCCTAAACCCTTAAACACCCAAACCTTACACCCAAATCGGTCTAAAACCCCACAAGGCCACCCTAAACCCAAAGGGGAAAAGGAGGGACCCTTAATGGGGACCCCTACCCTATAACGGGCTGCAAGGAACCATTTAAGGAACCCCAACCCTAAACCCTCAGGCCGGAACCCTGAACCCTAAACCCTAAACTGTTTTGGAAGATTAATGGGCTAGATAATGGGTACATAATGGCTATATTAAGGGTATATACCTAGGGGTCCCTATTAAGGATCCCTCCTTTTACCCTTGGACTAACCCTTGAAGCCTAAACCTTGGGTACTGCCCCCATACAGAAACAGTCTATAATAAGGCTACGATTAAGGCCCTACTATATCTATATGATGAATATTATTCATCTATTCCTGGCCGTACCCAACCTAGACCCCCTGAACCTAAACCCTAACCCTGTGGCCGGGTCTCCGGTAAGTTCGCGACTAGCGAAGCCCCTTGGAGACCCTCCAAGCGAAGAACCTGGTCAAAAGGGCTCCCAGAGAGCGGCTTAGGGTTTAGGGTTGAGGGGTTTAGGGGATTTGGGGTTTAGGGGATTAGGGGTTTAGGGTTTGGCATTTAGGGCTTTTTAGGGCTGTTTAGGGTTTAGGGCAGTTCAGGGGGATGAGGGTTCAGCAGCTCTGGTCGAGCAAGTATCTAGTAGAGTTCGCTATATGGGACATGGAATAATACCCACCCACCCACCCAGAGTATCCCAAATCATTAAGAAATACAAAGTTTTGTCATTACCTTCAGCTTAGTTAAACACAGTCGAATTAACAAAGACTCTTTGATTGTAAGCAGGGCAGGTACCTGAGAGCACTCCCTAAAGCCTCAAAAAAGCCTCGAAGGTCTAACCACACAAGTTGAAAAAAACTGTTGTAAGCAGGGCAGCTAGCTGAGAGCAGTTCTTAAACCCTGAAGTGCCCTCAAGGGTCTAACCACAAAAGTTGCACAAATTGGTTGTAAACTTGGCAGGTAGCTGGGAGCAGTCCCTACTGTAAGTTACGTGCTTTGTTGAGGACTGACAAAACTTCAACTTTTGCGTTAGGATGTCCTTAAGGGGGGGTGGTCCAAGGGGGGTAGGTAACCTAGTAATCCCCATTATTCCCCAATACTCCCTAAGCTTCCCTAAGGTTCCCCAAAGCTCCCTAGTACCCTCCCCCCTTGAACCACCCCCCCCTTAAGGATCCTATAATTGCGGGTAGGCCTTTGAGGCAACCTCCGGGGGCCTTTTAAAGCCCAAATGGGTTTAGGGTTTAGGGTTTAGGGTTTAGGGGGTGTAATTTAACCGCCCGGGGGCCGTTTAAGGCTGAAGTGGCTTGAATTTAATCGCTCGGGGGCCGTTTAAAGTCTGACTATATACTGTAAGCTATTGGCTACCGGGCCCCCAAAAGTAGAAGCCTCTTATAGATCGCTCTTAAAGATCCCCTTTAAACGAACCCTACCCCTAACACATAAGCCCTAAGAGCACTTACAGGCTCATGGGACTTAGTAAGTACGGTTACAATATAGGGACTTCTAACCCCAGTTATAACCTACTTACTAAGTCCCATGATCCTGTAAGTACCAAAGCAAGATAAGTGGAAATGGGTTCCGTTCATAGCTGGTTACCAGGTCAGCCCTTCCAAAAGAGTAGCCGAGCCCAAATAAGAGGTTCCAAGACTCTTATTGAAGACTAAGAGACATCTACTAAAGTTAATTTTACTGCTGTATTCGTTTAGCCTTGCACAATCAAGCTTGAATCGGATCGGACTCAGGGGAAAGGGAGCTGTTTGGCAATGGTAATCAAGGGAAGCATCGTAACACTGTGTGTGTGTTAATGTCTGGTCGGCTTCCTCCAGGAAAATCCCTCCATTGTCTAGCAAGACCCGCAATGTCTGCAAAAGCTCAGCCGCCTTTGGCCCAGACAAAGCATGATCCGCACAAGCTTCATCTTCCAATCGGCGAAGGCCAGCAAGTTGCCGGCGATGGCCGTCGCCCTGATCTGCGACAGATCCGGGAGCAATGGCTGGCCGCCGGAGTCACAGAAAGTTCCCCAGCTGACCACAGCGCCGGTTGACAAGTCACCAATGACTCTGCCCAGACTTTGAGCAGCCTGTTGCAAAGCGTCGCTAAACGTAAGCCCTATAGGGTTTAGGGTTTAGGGTTTAGGGTTTAGCTATACTAATACCCTAAGCCCCTACACCCCAAACCCTCAACCCTAACCCCACGCCCTGTGCCCACAGCCCAAAACCCGAAACCCTAGGCCCTCTGAAACACTTCAAATAACATGTGAAACTATTCTAAAATCCCTGTGGAACTCTTGTAGATGCCTTTAGAGGAATGCTTCCAAATACCCTGACTATCGCTTCTAGAACCCTACAGGACCCCTTGTAGAACCCTTGTAATTGTAGCAATCCTGGAAAAACTTTGTTAGCCCTGAACCCCTAAACCCTGCAAACCCAGGACCCCAAGCCCCTAGACCTTGAAACCCATAAATCCTCTGAGCCAAAATTCTAAACCCTCTACACCACAAACCCCCCAAAAAACCATTGAACCCCGAACCCCTGAACCCTATATAAACCCTAAATCTCACATAAAACTAAAAGAAATCCTCGACGACACCCGGAAACTCCAATATCCCTTAACTAAGGTATATTCCTTAAATCATATTAGGGATCCTACTATAATTTAAGGAATATTTCTTAGTTAAGGGATATGGGAGTCTCTGGGCAAGGCCCTCGCCTGGTTTGAGGGCGTCGCACTCGCCGCATCGCCCGGAGTCTCTGTGGCAAGCAGAGGGCCGAGGACGTGCACAGGGATGGAGATCTCGACCTCATTTAAAGGGTTTAGGGGTTTAGGGTTAAGGTTTAGGGTTGAGGGTTTAGGGTTTAGGGTTGAGGGTTTAGGTTTAGGGTTAAGGTTTAGGGTTTAGGGGTTTAGGTTTAGGGTTGGTTGGGGGTTTAGGGCTCATTTCGGCCCCCTATATTAGCCCCCGAGTCCTAAGGAGCCCCCTTGAAGGAAACCCAGGGTTCACGGTTTAGGGCTCATTTCAATCAAAGGGGAAAAGGAGGGACCCTTAATGGGGACCCCTCCCCTATAATGGGCTATGTAATGGGTATATAATGGCTATATTAAGGGTATATACCTAGGGGTCCACAAAGGTCCTCATGAACGAACATTATCCTGCTTCTTCTTCTCAATATGCTTAGACGTCTTAGGCTTCTTACTATTGGTCTTCTTCCTGTTGCTGTACTTCTTGTTGTTGCCAGTACTACTTTTTTTACAAGTACTGTTGCTACTGTTGCCCTGATGCCTAGTTTCAGCGATTTCGTTGTTGTGACTCTCACGGTTAGTGCGACTGACAACTGCTCCACTTGCATAAAGATCAGCAACAAAACTCTCGGATCCCTATGAACCCTAAACCCTAAACCCCTGAACCCTAGACATAAACCTTTAAGGTTTGAGGTTGAGGGGTTTGCGGTTTAGGGTTTAGTTTAGGGGCACTTAGAGCATCCCTTAAAAGGCGCCCTCGAAGGAGCCCTTAAAGGAACCCAACCCTTCACAAATAAATAGGAACCCTACCCCGCCCTAACCCGTAAAACCCCATATAAGCCCTGAAAGTACTTAAAGTATCATGGGACTTAGTAAGTAAAGCGGTTTAGGGTTTAGGGTTTAAGTTATAACAAGGCTAGAAGTCGGAAAGCCCCCTTGTAATCCCAGTTATCACCCACTTACTAGGTCCCATGATCCTTCAATTACCCCTAAACTCCCACTTATAGAACCCTTATAGATCCCTGTTAATTTAAAGATCCCTTGTAAGGAACCCCACCCCGAACCCATACAAACCCGTAAGCTCTAAGAGTATACTTTCAGGGCTTATAGCCTGAACTCTCCCTTGTAGAATCAAAACAGAAAATCCTAAACGCAAAAGGAACCTTTTAAGGAGCCCTTTAAGGAACCCTAGTTACTAAGTCCCTGATCCTTAAAGTATCCCAGAGACTCACTCCCATATCCCCTAATTCAGGAGTATTCCCTAAATTATAGTAGGATCCCTAATATGATTTAAGGAATATCCCTTAATTGAGGGATATTAGACTCCCCTAAACCCTAAGCCCTATAGATCCCTTCACGGAACCCTTAATGGAACCCTAGGTATTCCTTAACTAAGGGATATTGGAGTCTCTGGGATGGTTGTGTTGCTTCGGGCGGCGTGGGGCTTCTGGAGCTCCACGGACACGCACCATTCGCCTTTCCCAGCGGGCTCGGTTGGTTTAGGGTTTAGGGTTTACCCTAGGCTCCTTAGAGTAGTTCCTTTTTGGGATTACCTTATAGGATCCTAGCTATGAATCCGAGAAAGGAACCACGATGGAGCCTATGGGTAGGGGCTTATGGTTTAGGGTGGCTCAAAGGGTTTATAGATATAAAGGTCTAGGAGCCTTTCCCAGCGTCCCCTAGAGTTTGTTTTGGTTTTTTGGGCTACTATATTAGCGTCCCCTGTTCTCGGAAACTGCCATATTCCTTAACTAAGGGTTTAGGGTTTAGGCTTTAGGGGGTTTTGAGGGTTCAGGGTTCAAGGGTTTTGGGGTTTTAGAGTTTTTTGGGGGTTTGTGGTTTAGAGGGTGTAGAATTTTGGCTCGAAGGGTTTATGGCTTTAAAGGTCTAGGAGCCTAGGGTCCTTGGTTTACAGGGCTTCGGGGTTTAGCAATTTGGGATTTTTTTCTGGAAATTAGGGAAACCATATTTTGGGGTCCTTATACTAAGGATCCTACTGTTTAGGGTACTGTATTGGGCCCCTATTTTCGGAAACTCCCATATTCCTTAATTGAAGGTTTAGGGTTTCGGGGGGTAAGGGGGTTTTAGGGTTTAGGGTTTCGCAATATAGCTTAAATCACGACACGAGGTCCCACAGTTTGAGGGGTAGCTCTATGAAGGGGTATTGGGCTGGTGGCTTGGTGTGCGGGAGGTTTGGGGGGGCGGGAGCTAAGGGGCGTTTGCCTTACACCCCAGACCTACAACCCACAAACCCTCAGCTGTAAGGACACATTTGTTTGTTGTTCTTCTGCACTCTGGCGTTCCCACAGATTCCAATATCCCTTAATTACGGAGTATTCCTTAAATTATCGTAGGATCCCTAACTTGATTTAAGGAATACACCTTGATTAAGAGATATGCGGGTTTCCGAGAATAGGGGACCCTATATAATATAGCACCCTAAATAGTAGGATCCTTATTATAGGGGCCCCAAAATAGGGGAACCCTATTTTCGGAAACTCTAAACCCTAAACCCTAAACCTTTTTATATGACCCTTATAGATCCCTTTAAGGAACCCTTAAGGAACATTAGGTCATCCTTATTACCCCCTGTTTTCGGAAACTCCCATAATATTGGAGTCTCTGGGTTTGCGGTTCGGGGGTTGGGATTTGGGGGGAGACCTGCAGCCTGGCGGCCTTACTTGGAGGGTCGGGGGACTTAGTAAGTAGGGTTCCTTAAAGGGCTCCTTAAAGGGATCTATAAGGCTTCTATAAGGAGAGTCGGGGGACTTAGTAAGTAGATAACAAGTAGACTTATAAGTATCCTAACCCCACTTAGGGTCCCTATCTTAGGGTACTTATAAGTCTATTTACCATCTACTTACTAAGTTCCCCGACCCTCCAAGTAATGACCAAGAAGCCCGGATGCGAATCGCTGCTGGAGTTACCCTAACGGCCCAAAGAACCCAATAATTAGGTACTTGGGTTCAGGATAGTAGATATGTAGCTCAGTGTCTAGGAGAGGATATGATTAATTACTAGGTACTTGGACCCTCAGGGTCAGGGTATCAACTGAGGGGTTGGGTTAGAGCTCTACGGCCGTAGGAGCTGTAGCCAACTTAAACTAAATCCTAAGCCCTAAAATTTATAAGCGCTGGGCCTTAAGGGCCTCTGGTAGGGCCCGTATGATTGACCTCACATGTCCCTCAAAACGCCAACATTCCTAGACCTTACCTAACCCAGAGAGCCCAATACCTCATGAATACGGAATATAGCATAAACCATAATATGTAGCTTAACTTATAACTTAGGGTATATTTCTTTTTTCCGGGGTATCGGGCTATCTGGGAAAGGGCTCGGGGGACTTAGTAGCAAGTAGGTTGGAGTTGGGGCTATAATTCCTACCTTACTTATAACCTTATAAGTAAGTCCTTTGAGCCTGTAAGCATGGGTGCCGCAGTCGGAATTACACAGCGATGCTGGGTTCGAGTCCAGTGTTGCAAAAGGGGTTACAGGGATGAGGATTCGGGGTACAGGGTGGAGGGATACGGTCAGGCGGTCAGCCAGAAGCCGCCAAGGGTGCTGGACAATGATCATGCGTGGTTCAACCAGTGACATGAACCTCAACCCTAAACCCTAAACCCCTAAACCCTAAACCCCTAAACCCTAAACCTTAATTGTATGGCCCCCGGGTTTGAACCACTGAGACACCAAAAACCTCGACGCAAATCCAAACCCCCAAACTCCAAACCAGAAGCCCTCAAAGGCTTGGGCCCTCAACACGGTTTAGGGTTTAGGGTTTACAAAGCCGCAAAACGCAAACACGCGCACAGACAAATACAAACACCATCCTCAATTCTCACCTCTGGACGCCCAAATCCCACAGACTCTAAGACGCGAAGCCCTTCCCTCAGGCAACAGCACCCTCAACAGTACGAAAAAAACTGGCTACACACACCGAACAATGCAAAACACCCACACATGAAACGATGCAACAAGAAAACCACAGCAACAAACAACAAATCGAATCTCAAACCCCTGAAACCCAAACCCCTAAACCTCTAAGCCCTAACCCCTAAACCCCAAAGCCGTTACGTTGGTCATTCTTGGGGCTTTCTGTAGAGATTCCTTAGAGGGTTCCTTTAGGGTATTTACTAAACCGATTCCCCAACTCCAATCTCCAATAATTATAAGGAGTATTCCTGAAATCATGATAGGGTCCCTAGTCTGATTTGAAGAATATTCCTTGATTAAGGGATACTTCGATGCCCTCAACGCAGAGCCTTATAGATCCCTCATAGGATCCCTTAAACGTACCCTGGGCATTCCTTTGCTAAATAAGGGATATTGCAGCCTCTGCTTGAAGGCTCATGGGACTTCGTTAGGTTATAAGTAGGTTATAACTAGGATAGCCCTTAGGGGACTTATAGCCCAAACTATAACCTACTTACTAAGCCCCATGATCCTCTAAGTAACCCGAACTCCCGCCTTATAGAACCCCTATAGATCCCTAAACCCTACACCCTGATGCCTTTAACGAGCCCTTTAAGGAACGCTAAGTCCCATGATCCTCTAAATGGGCCCTCGGCTCGGCCTCCAAAAGCCTTAAAACCCTAAACCCCTAAACCCCTGAACCCTAAACGCCCCTGAACCCTAAACCCCTACACCCTAAACACCCCTAAACCCACACCCCATGCCTTTAAGGAGCCCTTTAAGGAACCCTGAACTCAGAGATCCCAATATCCCTTAACTAAGGAATATACCGTTTAGGGTTTAGGGTTTAGGGGTTTAGGGTTTAGGGTTTAGGGTTTAATATACCTTACATTGTAGAGGCCTTAACATTATGGTTTAAGGTATATTCCTTAATTAAGGGGAGTTTCCCAAGATTAGGGGTACCTTATTTTGGGGTCCTTATAATAAGGATCCTACATTTTAGGGTACTATATTGGGGTCCCCTATGGTCGGAAACTCCCATATTGGGATCTCTGGGAAGCGATCCCTTGCCCCTGAACCCCTGAACCCTGAAAATAAACCCCTAAACCCTAAAAAAAAACCAAACCCCTAAACACTAAACCCGTAAACCCTAAAAGCCACTTAAACCCTAAGCCCTAAAACAAAACCCTAAACCTAAACCCTAAACCCCTAAACCCTAAAACAAAACCCTAAAACCCTAAAGCGATCCCTCGTCCCGGCCTGAGACCAGCGCCTGGACCTCACCGAGACGTTTGCTGGCGCCAAGCTGCTCCGCTGCGCCCTGGACCTCAGGGCTCCTTTAAGGAGATTTTACTAAGTCCCATGATCCTCTAAGGAACCCCTAAGGGCTATCCTAGTTATAACCTACTTATAACCTAACGAAGTCCCATGAGCCTTTAAGCAGAGACTGCAATATCCCTCAATGAATAAAAACAAAAGAATGCCTAGGGCTCCTTTAAGGGATCCTTTGAGGGATCTAGAGGGCTTGGGTTTAGGGGATTGAAATATCCCGTAATTAAGCAATATTCTTCGTTTTTGTGTTCTTTAGGGTTCCTTGAAATCCTTGGGTTCCTGTCAAGGGTGCTATAGGGTTTTATCACAGGCTTCCTTTATTAAGGGATCTATGGGCACCCTGGACCTTCGTTTTTGTCTTGTTTACTGACCTTCGTTCTTGTTCAGGGTTTAGGCTTTAGGGTAGGATTGCGGAGCAGATGCATGTGAGAAGAGAAAAAGTTTGGAAGTATACGGCCTCGCCCCTCAATGCCAAAACAAGGACGGTTTACGGTTTCCGCAAACTTGGAGGGGGGGCTCTCTAAGTTAGGGTCCCTTTTAGGGTCCTTTTTGTAAGGGTGCCGCCTACTTTTCTGGGATCCTTACAAGAGGTCCTAATTCTCTAGATTTGGTCCTTCTAGGGTCAGGTGCCGCCTACTTTTGTGGGTTCCTTACAAGGGACCCCAATTTAGAGAATGCAAATTAGCGGAAACTATTAAAACGCTTTCATAACAACACCGTTTCAAACGAAATCTAGATCTAGATACCGAACATCGTGAACCGCGTGCCAGGGTTCAGGGTTTAGGGTTTCCCAGAGACTCCAATATCCTCTAATTTAGAAATAGTCCTTAAATCATATTTGGGATCCTGCTAAACCTTACAGTATATTCATTTATTCTTTGGGGATGTGCGACCTTTTTGTGGGGTCCTGAAAAGTTCTATAGTAGGGAACTTACAAGAAAGTACCATAGGTTATGGTAGTTTAAGGCTAAGGTAGACCCTAAAAACGCCTTATTCCCTAAACGCCAATCTGTTGAGGTGCAGCGATGAAAGGAGCGCGGAGCTCTGGATGGGTGGAGCCATGTCCTGAATTCGGGAGTCAGGGTTTAGGGTCTGGGTCTGGGATAAGTTTGTGCTTTGTATCTTTTTTGGTGCATTTTTGTTGGCTTGGGTGGGTTTGCTCAGGGTTTAGGGTCTAGGCTGACTCCCTAAACCCTATAAACTTTAGGGCTTAGGGGGTTTAGGGTTTAGGGAGTCAGTGGGTCAGTGGCTTAGGAATTGCGTTTTGGAGTGTAGCTCTTACGGCATTATGGCTTGGTTTAGGGTGTCAGGTGGGCCTGGAAAACAAGACCCGCTGTAAACAACTACATTCAGAATAACGAAGGTCTCATCCTTCAGGAGAAACCCCCAAATAGGGGCCTAAATAATTACCAATACTATTTTGGTGGGGTTCCTTACTTTCATTATAGTGTGATGGGCCCCAAAACCCTTTTCAAATTATGAAGGCCCGTTTTCCACAGAACCCTATTACAGATCCCTTATAGACCCGTTTAAAGGAACCCTTAAAAGGAACCCTATTCTAATTATTAAGGCCCCTGTACTACAGCTTCAGCGGCTTTTCCAGGTTCGTTGTGCAAGACTGGATGAGGTCCAAGACGAGTCAAAAGGTGTGCTTTGTGTTGTTACTTCTAAGGTTTAGGGTTTTGGTTTAGGGTTTAGGGTTTAAGGTTTAGGGTCTACTCCTCTCAACAGGAGCCCAAACAAGAATCGTAAATACTAGTAGGACAGGGGAGGGGTTGAACTTCACAGTTCAGGGTTAAGGGCTTTACTGTGGGGGTTTGGCGTTGCCGATTTTAGACATAACGGGCAAATTAATGGCTTCGGGGCGACGGCGTCGTTTTCATGATATTCCGGAAGCCGGAACCACACCCCTATAATTAAAGAGTAAGGGAACCCTCAACGGATGGGCAATACCGTAGAGTCTCTGTGGTGTTTGCATGGGTTGATTGCAGGAATTGGTAGGGTGTATGCCAGAGTCTTTAAACATTAGCATCGGGTGCTTTGGTTTGCATTACATGACGGCATCGTCATGTATAAGAACTACAAGCGGTGATTATTCAGGCATCCAGTTTAAGGGCTTAGGGTTTTGGGCAACCGGGCGCTGAATGGTTTCTATGTGGCTTCGACCAGTAGAGGGGTCGAAAGGTCGTGTAGGGCTTGAGAACGAAATTGCAAGGTGTTGAAAAGGATGATGCTCTACTTTTACGGTTAGCGAGAACTGTTTCAATGCGAAAAGATTGTGCAACATGAGGGCATTGCAATCACAGAAAGGGGTTTTGGGGTGTAGCATGGAGTAGCTGTATCAAGGAACCTTACGGAATGGTATTGGTAACCCTAAACACCTTAAACCCCAAACCCCTAAACCCCTAAACCCCAAACCTCTAAACCACTAAACTCCTACTTATTCCCCTACAGTAGAGGGCTCGACTGGAATGGTTGCGCTCAGACAAGGCAGTCAGTCCAAAGCCAAGAGGGAGCTTCGGGATAAGCAAATTTGGGGACTACTATAGGGGCCTTCGTATTTAGAATAGGGTTCCTTTAAAGGGTTCCTTAAAAGGGGTCTATAAGGGATCTATAGCAGGGTGGCTTCTATGGAAAAGGGGCCTTAATAATTAGAATAGGGTTTTGGGGCCCCTTAAAGTAGATATAATAAGGAACCCCAAAATAGAATTGGTAATTATTTCCGCCCCTGGTGGATGAATTCAACTGTTTCGTCTGCTACTCGTCGCGGCTGTTCAGCTGATCTCGCACAGCACAGCTCTCAGCGCCGAACTCACGATCGCCCCAGGTCACGACGGAGCCATGACCAAGGATCGCAGCAAAGGCACGCCAAGTTGCTTGAATCTGCTGCACATTCTTCAGCTCATCTCGCACCGCACTGCTGTCACCACCATTTTCAGCACGGGGCCAGGTAACGACAGAGCCATCAAAAAGGATCGCAGCAAAGGCTTCTTCGTTTGCTTGAATCTGTTGCACACTCTTCAGCTGATGTGCCACAGCACTGCTGTCACCACCCCTGTGACTATCGCCCCAGGTTACGACGGAGCCGTCCCCGAGGATCGCAGCAAAGGCATACTTGGTTGCTTGAATCTGCTGTACATTCCTCACTTGGTAGCCCTTTGGCCAAGGGCGAAAATTATTTATGGATGGGGCCGTTGGCATGCGACAAGGATCATACATGTCAATCGCACCTTTTCGGATCTGCTTGCGACTTTTAGTGGCGACTTGGCATGCGACAAGGATCATACATGTCAATCGCACCTTTTCGGATCTGCTTGCGACTTTGAGTGGCGACTTGCGACTACGACTGGCGACTACAACTGACTGATTGGCAGTGGAATGTGAAAAATGTTCGACGAGCTATGCAATATTTCTGCTTGGTGCAATTAACACTTCACTGTGCCACAGCCAAAAAAGACTGCGACTGCAGCGGCCGGTTGTCAGGGTGGCAGAGGACCAGCCTGACGGTCGGGATCATAGATTCTCATAGATGGTGTTTTGCGACTCAAGGCATTCAACTTTAATCTGGCCTCTTCGTGGGGCACGACGTCCGACTCCCTGTAGGAACCACTCGCAGCCTGACAGTTCAACAAAAGAGCAATGGACACTGGTTCCAACAATAGGGTCCCTGCCTGCAGCGGGTTGCCTTCGAAGTCAAGACGACCCGACCTCGATCCACAACTGCAGGCAATCAACTCAGTGCAATGGCAAGCTTCGGAACAGCAGTGGCAGTGTTTTACGACTGTATGAATGTAACGACTGGCTTCTGATTGTTGCTTTGCAACAGTCGACTTTAGGATGGACAGTACCCACGGGCTGGTTCACGACTGCAAACTAAGAAACGGTCGTCTAAGTTTACTACGACTGTTGTTGATTGACTATTTCTTGGACTTGCTGCACATACCAGCCTGTGGTGCCGACTACTGCAGTTGCCTCTGACCCCAACAACCGCAATCATGAGCTCGACTGTTGGAGCTCACTCGTTCCCCAAAAACCTACAAGATACGCCCTCTGTACTCTGAGCGATGACGACTGCAGCAGCCACAAAGCGAACGAGGTCGCTGCTGTCGTTGAGAGTCACCGACTTCGAGCTCCAACTGAAAGGCCGGCGAGAAGGCGCCGAAGCGCCCTCGAGGATTGTCCACTTCGACTCGGGCAGACGAGCGATGTGCTTCAGCTGCTGCACGACGGCTTTGTGTTTCTCGTCGAAACGACTGGTCAAAGAAATGACCCTAACTTGGCCGGTGCGACTGCTCGGCAGATACGTCTTGGCACCCAACCCACGAGTCATGTCTGTCTTCTGCACCACTGTTGCACCCAAAGCGACGACTGGGAGCTCCAAGAGTCCGAGCGACTTTCGGGTAAACTCCAGGTGCTTGTCGACTATGATGCACGTTGGGGTGCCCAGTGCAAGCATCTTCACCAAAGCCATTGCCGTGAGGGATGCACAACTCTGGATGAAGCAGCTGCTGCTGGCGACTCTCTGCACTGGCAGGGCCTCGTCGCAGGCGTTGAGAATGCGACTGAACTTGGTGTGCCTGAACTCTCTGGCCTGCTCGACTTGCGACTGTGTCGTCGGCGCTGGTGCGATCGACCGTCCCGGTCGTTCAGCGGGCTTGTCGTAGGCCTGCTTGCCGACTGAACGCAAGTGCTTCTGCTTCTGGCTTTGGGCGACTTTTCTTTTTGTGTTTTTGTCGAAATCGCGAAGCGCCTTGCTCCATGCCGACTCGTCGTCCATGTCCTGCATCGCAGCACGGAGGTCGCCTACGGAGCCTCCGAATATGGAGGGCGCTTGCCCTCCACGCTCCTTGGCACGTTCTAGCAGCTCTTGAGCTGCTCTGTCTCGACTGCGTTTCAAGGCCACCTTCGTGTTCGACTTCTTGACCCTTTCGACTCCGGCGTCTTTGCGACTCTTGTACAGGCAAAACCGCCTGCCGTGAGTCTCAACCCAAGCTTCTTGCCACTGGCGACTGAGAGCCGTCAGGCCACAGGAGATATCGCCGTCCTCGATCAAAAACAAAGAATCAGATGTGGGGTCTGGATTCCGGACACATTATTGCCGCCAAGCATCGTGTAGGCTCTGCTGGACGACTGCCGACTCGTGCTCCGGGAGGTGGAAGCAAAGCAGCGCCAAGTTCTCTGGATTTTCCAGTGGACCTGAATGCGCCTCGACTATTTCTCTGATCTTAGAGAAGTCTCGCTCGACTGGCCCCGTTCCGTCGAGCACGGCCAAATACCATGTGGCGACTGCAAGGGCATGGTCGAAAAGCTGGCCCCCGCCGACTGCTTCTCGATACTGAGGCAAACAACTCCATGCATCCAGGTTGTTGAACATGCCGACTTTAGCCGACTGGATGTCGGCTCTGTGCTTCTTGGCAAGGAAAAGGGCAGCATGCTCCAAGCGCTCAGCAACTTGACGACTGTCCTCAGCCAGGTTGGGCTGGACCAGATATTATTATTGGACTGACACAGTTGTTTTAGTATCTTGCTGCCTAAGTTCCATGCCGGTCGACTGCGACTTTTCGTAGGCGTTGCACACGCGGCGGGTACACATGCGCAGAGAGTTCGTCAAGTGCTCGGCCGACTCGGTCTGCGGGAGAGTCTTCAGCCACGTTGGCAGGTCGAAGCATCTAAAGGCCAGAAGCCTTGGTCATGTATGTCCCAACCAAATTTTGTTTCGGGATCAGCTCTAAGAGGTTGAGGCATCGTCTTTATTAAAGGCATCGGCCAGTACTTTTCTGGATGAAACTTATGACGAGAATGTCGACGACTGTTTAAGGACCGACTCGACATTTCGACTTCAAGGCACAACGTCACGCTCTTCAAAGGATCCAGGTAACCTACAACCGTAGACCAAATTATGGAACAGAGCGATGACGACTCACTGAGCTGCGGGCAACGACTGCGGGTCGAACTCGGCCCTTAAGCGCTTGTCGGCCAACTGCCAGCACAGCGACATCTCCTCCATGACGCTAACCGCCTCTTCCTTCGCCTTCGCATGCCAGAAGACCTTCTCGCGCATCCCC